AGCAGCTTACATGACTTCTAGGGGTCGCAGTCCCATGGATAGGACAAAGTATCCATTGTCCCCTTCATCTTAGTAATACATCTTCATATGGACTGTCTCCCCTTTCTTGACTTTATCTCCATATTCCTCCACTCCTGATCCCTTGGGTTGCAGTCTTGGTAAAGCAATAGCCCGTAAGCCTTCCCCCAGGCTTACCTTTCTGGGAAACCCAGGGTAAGACATAAAGTGGCTTAGTGGAAGAGAATAGCTAAGCTCTGCCCTAGTGAAGCCTCCAGGTGTGTGAATCCTTCACCCTCATGTCAGTGTTCCAGCCAGGTGGGGCTTTGTTGGAGCTTTTCTGGGTTGGAGGTGGCAAGAAAGAGGACTTACAGATTAATTCACTTGTCAAGCTGAGTTGGAAATCTCTGGACTTTCTTTTCTGGTACGGCACGAAGACTGCTGTCCCTCCTTTTTGAGATGGTTGTCTTGGGTGAAGCGGGAGAGGAGGGAGGACTGGGCAGGGTGTCAGGAGGTCTAGCCTTTGGGCTTGGCTCTTCTGCTAACAAGCCACGTGACCTTGACTGAGTTATGTTGCCTCCTGGCATGTCAGTTTCTTATCTGAAAGATGAGGGGCTCATCCTAGATCATTTCTATGATCACTTCTAACTGTTAAATCCTATGGTAAACTGTAATTCCTGCCACATTAGCTGCATTTGCAGGGAAGTTATCTCAATTCTTATTTGAAAGGTCAAATTGAGGCCTCTGTTAGAATTTTCAATGTGGTAGTTAATGCAAAAACCTGTTTTATTGGTGCTTTCTAGAGAAAGAAAGAATTTGGTCAGAGCCACTCTTATTTGTCCATCACAAGGGAAAAATAGAGATTCTGTGCTGACAACTCACTACTTTCAACTTCAGTTGTGGGTCATTTTCTCTTGCAATTTGGTCCACACAGCTAAGGGCTGGTTTAGGAACCAGAGCTCAGAGACAACCCTAGCTGGAAGGGAAGAAAGGATCTCTCCCCTCTAATACATATACCCACATGCCCCCCAACCCCACGCCAACACACCATTCACCTCTTTCTGCGTATCCCACTCTCGCCTCCTCTTTATGCAGGGAGAGACAGTTCTCTGTGTCTAAGGTCATGGCCACAACCACATCCAGCACTATGACTGCAGTGGGCAGTGGGGAGAACTTTACATCCTCTTTGGGAACTCATAGAGGTCAATGCAAATCACTTTTGGTCATTGCCCAAACTGGAAAGAACATATTTTCCCCAGATTATTATTAAGAATTTTATATAATCACATACTCTCTTCTCTTTCACATACAGACATACATTCCCAAAGAGAAAAACTCATCTCTGAGTATTGGGTCATAAATTATATGAGGTACATTTCATTATAAAGCACATTTCTTTAGTCCTTTATGAATGCTCTCCATTTACCCCAGGGGGGTTGTAATGTACACTGACATCTTACTTTCTTCCAAGAAGCATTCCCTCATATTGTTTAGTATGTGGGGCCTAGCTGGGCAAACAAATCCTACGCTGGAGAATGAAGGCAATCGACTCGTATATAAATGGGAATACAATCATGCATCTATGCCTGGGCTCCAGGGAGGTCACATATAATCGTTAGAAAACTGGGTAAGTAAACATCAGTGAAAGAAATGTCTGCTGGAAAAGTGGCTGCATAAACAGTGCAAATGCATAATTGCTATGGCCCGGAAAAAATTGGAAACCAAGTGATTCTAGAGTCAGAGAGACGGGAACAAGTATTTTATAACAAGTCAGTCCTCATTATTTCTGATTTTTTATTTTGATGCTTTACCGTCTCAGTGCATCCTCCCAACCCCCATCCAATTCTTCCTAAGGCACTTTGTTTTTTCCAAAGTAAAAAAAACAAGAAAAAGTAAAAAGTTGGGCAAATTAGAGACAACGTTGCAGCCTCTTCAGTTTCTTCAATTAACAAAGCCAGCAGGAGCAGCAGGGTCTTTAGAGCACTGCGGTTTTTTAGTGCTTCAGTTTTACCTTGCAGAAGATCAGAAACCAAAGCTCATAAAATTGAACTCAGATGAAGAACACTGCCATCTTTGGAGTGCTACTAAACAATCTGCAAATTATTTAAATTAAACCAACCCGGTCCTCAACATCTGCACACAAAATGCTTAAATTCCAAGTGCAACTTTACAGGCATAAGAAAATAATAAGGGGAGTTCAATTTGTGTCAGCATGGCTCAGGAAAATAAGATATCATGTCTTGCTGTCTGCTTGATGTCAACTTCTCAGATGTGAGCTCTAATGCCTCATCCTAGACTGTCCGCACCAGAGCCTGCCAAACAGAGAAGTTCAGCCAAAGTTCACCAAGCTACTACCAAATAGCGTTTTTCCCCTCCTTTTTCAATCATTATAAACCTTCTGTTTTATATTGTGCACACGTGATTTTATCTACCTCTTAAAACATATATAACTCTATTAGCTTCTCCTATTCTCTCAGAATATTGTAAAATCTTTTCTGGGATGAGTTTGTTCTCTGGCTTACAATTATTCAGTGTTTTAACTTTCACTATATATACTAGATTGTATCTGGGATGCTTGGTCAGGATGCACAGACAAAATCTGTAATATTCGAGATGATTTGAAAATACTTCTTTTTCTGGAGAACAAATACATAAAGTGAAAAAGAAATAAAACAGACGTTGATCAATTACTGTCTTGAGATGGGCTCAGAAATGCATTATTAGTTCTGTTTCCTTCCTTCTCATCCAAATTAGAGGCTTACTCAGAGTATGCCAGAGAACTTGCCAAAACCTGGCATCTAGCCCTCGGAAATATCCCCAGCTCAGACCTTAGTTCTAATCTCCCCTTCAGCTGGGATATCAAGACGACTAACAGGGCAATTGCGCAGGCCATTTTTCTCATTTTCCTTGTTTAGTCTTGATTTACTTTAAATGGCTCACAACTCTCAATTCCTTCCAGTGAAATTGTGCACCCACATTTTTAATCATGCAAAACCAACATTTTAATGCTGCTGGATGATATATCAATTTAGGGTCCTGGGATTGTCAAAGAGGTAGAATTTCACTCATCAGCAGAAATGTAGGTTTAGTAGGTGTGTGAAGACAAAAATAAGTGCAGTGAAGTCTTTGATCTATGCATGGTCTTTAAAAATACCTTTCCTATAGTGTAACATGTCACGTTTAATCTATGTTCCACCTTTAGCATCTTTTTTCCAAACATAGCTCAGTCCCTTTCAAAGACCCAAACACCAGTGCTCAAAGCAGTTTTGTCGAAGGGGAGTTGTCTTGTTTCTATTTGGTGGTAGCTGTTGGGGTGGGTGTGGAACATCCCCACCAACCAGGAAAAAGAGCTTCTGTATCCTAAACCAGTAAATGCATTGCTAGGCTGCTGCCTTCTTGCAGCCATAACTCTCTCAAAACCAGTTAAAATATGCCAAAATTTGCATTTTGGGTAAGTTAGAGCTGATTATAATTATTATTATAAAAAAGCTTCCTTTACATTTAGTGTTGATTCAGATAACTTTCAAACTCATGCTGAATACTTGGCCACCAGTAGCTGAGTATGGTTCAATGAAGCAATTTGATAAAACTATTACTAATAAACCTGGTCGAAATGCAAACATTAAAACAATCTTAAAATATAGAAATATTCTTGCCACATAATGATCACTATTGTCTTGATTTCTTTTCATGTTTCATATCTTAAAATAATTCAGCTTATAGAATGTGTTTAAAGAAACTTGTCTGTTGATTCATATTTCAGTTAATCTGGTATCAATTACTGAAATAGATTTGGAAATTCAATGTCTGTGCAGATGAAATGCTTTAATACCTTAGATAGTAGCTGGTTTCTGGATGCAGCCTGAAATGGCATAGTCAGAAAAGTTTAAAATATTTTTGCTAGATTCAAAGACGAGCAAGATTAAAAATTCCCAAATGTGTATTCTGGAATCCTTCCAAAACATTCCATCTTTATTCATTATTGGATATTGTCTTGATTAAAATTCCTGTTGGTTTGTTCTATGGTTAAGTAGTAATCTTGTATCTTAGCATTTGGAATGTATTGGTATCATGTGACGTGCACAGAGCCCAGATGAATATAGAGAGATCTCTTTCACAAGTCAACAAGGAGAACTTAGAGCGTTCGGATTTCAGCAGAGCTGTTTGGGGGGAGGAGGGGATTATTTGTTCAGCACATTCTTTCCAACAAGTGAGTCAGAAAGAGCTGTTCAAAAGCAAAATGATTTTTCCTATAACACCAGTGGTCCTGAATCAAGGCAGATTTCTCTGGAGGAAATAAAATACTTCTTTTCTTTTTTCCCTTTCTTTATCTCTTTTTGTTCTATTTCTAGCATTTGGTGCCCTTTATTGCTAACTTCACCCAGTAACATGTGAAAAATGTACTCGACAATGCAAAGCAGATGACGCAGTCACCATCTTCTGAGTCACCGTCCTTTTCTCTGCATTCCTGCAGAGCCCTTTCAAAACTGGAGAATGATTTGGTTAGGAGTCACTGAAAAGAGAAATAAAAATGAAAAGATGGGTCTGCTTACTCAGCCACACAGACGCTTTTGTGGCTTGTCCCCTGCTGCAACCTGCTTGGCACTGGGCATCCCCAGGGACCCTAGGCCAGGTCCTCGAATCAGGACAGACCTAGGGGGTCTGGGAGCCCACACAACTTTGGCAGACTTGGCCGGTCTTTTGTTTTGTTTCAGTTCATCATTGCCACTTGGAAGTAAGCTCTGTGGCAGAGAAGGAAAGGAGAGGGTGCTGGCGTAGGTCGGGTCCCTTGAGGTGATGTAATTTGTCACCACTTCTCGTGTGCTGGAAATGAATCTATCACTTAGGAAAAGTCAGGAGGGCTGACTCAGAACCACACATAGGATAAACCCAACTTTGGGGCAAGCTGTCACAGACACCAAGTCACCTCCAAGTCCTCCCCCATGGTGGGTGGGGATACCACATAGGACTGGTTAAGAATATCCACCTCAGTGACGAAGCCCTCTGGAGCAAAGAGTCAGATTGCTAGAGTAGCCGCAAAGGAGTCCACGGCAGGTACTTGCTACCTCTCTGTGCATCAGGGAGCATGCCTCCCAGGGTTCTGATCTTTGCCTGAGGGAAAGTGAGTGGACCAGAGAGCATCTGATGAGGCCAAGTCACAGGGTGAGTCTTCTGGCTTTTACCAATGAACTTGCTTACTCTCCACACGTGGAAATACTGAACAAAGCCAAGAAGCTGTCCAGTTTGTTGGATGTAAGCTCTCTGATGACCAAAGCTTTATTTTGTTCGCCACCATATAACCAGTACAGAACAGTGGCTGCACATAAATATTTGTGAATGAATGAATAATATCACATGAAGATTTTGGTTAAAAAATCAATTAATGCAATGGTCAAGTGGTTTTTTAGCACAATGAGCCTAGAAAAGCAATCATTATTTTAACAAATGAAATTTTAAGAAGACTGGAGCAAGGGAAGGGAAAAAACTCATAACTGTTGATCCCTTACTGTGCAACGAGAAATTTCTTGTGTGCTGGATGAATAGGTATTATCCCATTTTTAGGGTTAGAAAACTGGGGCTGGGAGAGGGCAGATCATTTGCCTAAGATCATAAGGCTAAGAAGTAGCAAAACTGTGGTTCAGACTTAAGAATCCCATGTTGGGGTGATTTTAAAGATTTAATTATTGCAGTACTTTGTTATTACAGATCACTGCAACAGCATTTTGAGATGTTAGACATGTGATGCTGGAAAACTAATTAATTTATCTTCATGGGAAGTTTGTAGAGTTTTGAGATTCAAACCAGATTAAGTAGGTGAAAGTGCTTTTTTAGATTGCTTAGCTTGACACTAAAAAATTTGTGCTGAATCCAAATCCCATATGAATGTATTAACTTTTTCTAGCAGAGAGTTTACAGAAGCAAGAAATCAATCAACATGGCTTCAACCGCAGGGGGTGAAGTAGGGGAGTGAGATGGATGTTTGATCAGGTTACAGGGAGCTCAGCCTCTAGTAGCAACCCCATTGGTAAGCAGCTGTGTGATCTAAGGTAAGTCACTTCACCTCTTATAATTTCAGGTTTATGGATGGTCAAATAAGGGACTAATTCTTGCTTTGCTTACTGCTCAGATATTATTGGAATCAAGAGAAATAGTTGAATTAAAGTACTTTGCAAAATTTATAGACTCCAATTGAGAAAACTTTTATATTTGTGATGAAAGTGTCCTATATTCTGTAATAATGGGAGTTGAGTCTTTCCCTATCTACCTACCTAATTCACTGATTAAATTTGCATCTGAAATGATAACATAGTTTCTCACTTTTAATTTCATTCAACTTTTTCATTAAGTTGAATAAAATTTAATGAAACGTTGACATCTGTGACTATTTCCCTGATTTTTAAAACATTTTTGATCAAGATTTACTGTTTTCATCTAAGACAAGTTCTAGTACCTGAATTTACCTCAGAGGGCACAGAGAGTTGAGACATTTCCCTCTGTACATACATTTTTAGGGCTGGCCCCAAATATGAAATATAATTATAGTGCTCTCTTGTCTGATATTAGACAAGTCTGAGGAGGCCTGGAGTACATTCCTTAGGCTCATGAGTAATTATAGTGTTGATGATAATCAACTGCTTTATAAGATCTCAAGCTGCTGGGATTCTGGTTTTTCTGTAATGCATACATACCCCATGAATTTAATTATCACTATTTTGGTGCCTGGCAAATATGCTTCACTTATAAACCTCATATTTATGTTAAGATAGAACTGGAGGGTGTGTGTTGTAACCACTACACCCCAGACATTCAAGAAAAATCATTGTCCAAATTCAGAAGGGCTTTTCATTTTAATGACCCATGCGTTTGATATTATTTTCTTGGTTAGAAAATTATTTTTCAAGTTCTGTTTTCTCCACCCCCTTTCTTCTCCCTTCATGCCTCTCTCTAAGTTTTATAATGCTGTGTTTCCTTTTGAAAGATTAGGTAAGAGGGAACACGTGTGTGAAAGTCGTGGCCAACTCCCATGTGCTGAGGGCTGGTAAGATGAAGGCCAAAGGCCAAATGACTTCAGCACCTGACAAGTGTGTGGATCTCATTATGGCCATTGAGCCTGGTAGGCTTAAAAAAAAAATCAGTGGATTTGCAGGAGGTGTGGTCGATGTTTGGTGAGAAAGTAGGTCTTCAGTATAATTGATAAGGCCTCCAATTTTTTTTTGTCTCCCATTTGAAAACTTCCCATCTATCCCATATATTTAATGATTCATAGAGTTTGAGGAAGCGTTTGAGATCATCTTGTCTAATCTCTTCATTGTCAATGAGCAGCATGAGCTCAGGAAGGAGAGAGTTTCTCAAGGCCTCATCATTAACCAGATTGTCTGACTCTGTTCCAATTTCCCTATTTCACACCTGCTGTCCTAGCCCCAACCTGCATATCCACATATCCATTGAGGACCTTTGAACACTTACTCTGTACTTGGTGGTAAGCTTCTTGGTCTTTAAAGCATAGTGTTGATCTTCCAGGAATTTGTTAGCAAATTGAGGGGGGGGGGTCACACAGACACAAGACCCTCATTGTAGTAAAAAGCAGCCTCTAGTTCAGAGGCGATGTGAGTGAAGCAGTGGACCAGTTCCTCAGGACATCAGAGTGTGCAAAATCTGAGGAAGGCTGGTCTGCTGAGAGGATATAAATGGAAGAGGTAGAACTTAAAGCAGGTTTTGAAGGTGCAGAGATTTGAATTTCCAGGAAGGGAGGAGGACTTGAAAAGGGCTCAGAAATCTAAGGAACAGGATGTGAGGAGGATTTAGAGTGAAGAAAGAGCAACATCACAGTCCATGTATGGAAAATGTAGGGATGGGGTGGCCCCTAGGAAAGGACACAATACAGATAGCTTTTAATGCCCACCTAAAGTGTTTACTTCCTCATGCAGGGATGGAGATCTATTGAAGATTTAAAATAGGAGAGTGAGGAGCTAAAATAAAGGTAACTTGGGTTGGAAGAAGGATTGGAGGGCCCCCTCAACTCTGCAGGAACTGCCTGAAAGGGAGTGAGGTCTACAATGCCAACTCCTGGAATGACTAATACTTTTGCCTTCAAAGGTCTTGAGAGTTTTACAGTGGTTGTCCATGTGGCTTCTCCAGGAGGGCCAGTGAGAGATACAATTCTCCACCAGTTAGAGGGGCAAAGCTTGAGGCAAGGAAAAAGAGGTGGCCGCCCGCCTCTGTAAACTGGGATGTCTCAGACATACACCAAAGTGCCCATTGGTTGGGTAGAGTCTGACTCAACCTCTTTCTAACTTCAAGGCTTTGGCCAAGCCACTAACATGTTCTGAACCTCAGTATTTTCATCTGCACTTTATAGGTATAATGATGCTTGCCCTAGCTACCTTGTTATGAGGATCCAATGAGAAAGCAGATGTGAACCGTAAATAAACTATCATCATTATCCTGTCACAGAGCTCTTGCTGCTGGGGTGGTGGAATATCTGATGCAGGGGAAAACCACATAAAAGTAAGGACAGATTTCCTTCTTAGAAAAATACCTTTGAATTCCAGGAAGGGAGCAGGGATTAAGGCTTGCCCCATAGGGTGGGAGAACAGTGCAAATGTCTTGTGCCTTGCTACTGGGAGCATTATTTGACATAATATTTTTGCTTTTCTTGGTTTTGTTTTCCATTTAAGAAGACATGGAATGGAAGTAGTTTGAGGATTCTGTTCAAACTGATTACTGTGAGCCACCCTAAACCAGAACTGATCAGAATACTGCTTGAGACTTTACAACTTGTGTGGCTCCATTCAAAGCTGAAAAATCAGCAAAAGGACAGAAGATGGGGTGGGGGATGTCAGATGCTCATCCTTGAATAAAAGGGTAATGGTTTTAAAACCATATTTTAAATATATTTTCTAAATTTGATTACAACTCTCGCTTAAGCCGTAGCCATTTCTAAGGTTCTCTGAGCAGCATTTTCCTTGGAGATTGGCTTGATTATTGGTTTAGGTCTTGACTCGTTTCTAAGTGTATATAATCAGTTCATCTAGAACTCCATAAAATCCTTCTTCCCAAAGGAAGGCCTTTGCTGGAAGCTGTGATAGGCTGGAGAGAGAAACAGACTGGGAACTCCATGGTCAGGGAACTTCCAGCCTAATTGGACAAAGAAAAACATTCAGAACTTATTTATGAGCACCAACAGATTTAGAGAGTGAGGGATAAAAATGCGTGTGGAAAGGTCATTTATTGAGTGCTTGCTATGTGCCAGAATTTGCTTTTGATTCTGACTTTACAGTGTCAGATGTTAAGCAACTCTGGATTTTCGTTTTTATTTTTTCTGGGAGGCTATGGGAATTCAGTGAAGGCTTTCCCTTTTCAGAATGGCATAGATTCAACCTTAGAAGCCTCATCTAGGCTGTCATATAGAGGATGAATTTGGGACAGAGGAGGCTAGGGACAGAAGACCAGTTTGGGAACAACAGTAGAAGTCCCTTGAACTAGGGCAGGGGCAGTAGGAAGTGAGAAAATTTGGGAAACAGTTTATTGCAAAAGTGAAAAGAGGCAGCCCTTCAGAGAATGGTGCCCATAACTTTTACTCCCCACGAACCCAGCATCTGGCATTTATGAAATGCTCAAGCTTGTTGTCCTGAAATTCTTGTTGATTAATTGCTTGGTTCACCATACATCCTAAATAAAAATTTCACTGTTTACTCTATTCAGAGATCTGAAGTAAAATTTAGCCACAAGGATGTTTATCACAATACGATTTTTAATTGAAAACGTATGGAAAATACTTATGTTGGCTGGAATGTTTGCAATTATTAAGAATTATTTTTTCAATGGCTATTTCATGACGGTAAATTCTCTTGACACAATGTAAAGTGTAAAAATAATACAAACTAGTCTGTGTGTATTGGTTCATGCCTGTAATCTCAGTACTTTGAAAGGCTAAGGAATATGGATCACTTGAGTTCAGGAGTTCAATACCAGCCTGGCAACATGGTGAAATCCCGTCTCTACTAAAAAATACAAAAATTAGCTGGGCATAGTGGTGCACACCTGTAATCCTAGCTACTTAGGAGGCTGAGGCAGGAGAATTCCTTGAGCCCTGGAGGTGGAAGTTGCAGTGAGCTGGTATCATGCCACTACACTCCAGCTTTGGCAACAGACTGAGTGAGACTCCATTTCTAAATAAATAAACAACAATAATACAAATTACATATAAGTGGTATTCTCCTGATTCATATAATTAAATACTTTTTAATATTCTCTGTGTTAAAAATATACATAGAAAATAAAGAAGAAAATACATCAGCATGTTAATCATAATTATCTTGAATTTTAAGAGTACAAACATCATTTATTTTCTTCTTTCAACATTTTTATATTTTCCCAATCTTATACTTTAGAGTGGTAAAACTTTTCAAGTCAGAAGAATAAAAATTATTGTGAAATAAAAAAAAAAAAATCCCAAGAGGAAACCACTTAAAGGTTCAGAAGATTATGCTCAAGTGTTAGTGTTGCCTTATGATGTAGGCAAATTCACTTAACCCCTATGGTCCACAGTTTCCTCATCTGTAAAATGGTCTTAATAACATCTGCTTGCTAATTGTCAGGCTACTGTAAATGTCAAACAAAATAAGGGAGGTGAAAATGCTTTGTTACTAATAAGTTGCTTCAGGAATATGCATGACTCTGGTTGTTACTATATTTGCTCCCCTTAATGGGATACAAAAGCGGATGCTAGACGTTCCCCAGGGTAGGTTTGGGCAGCTGGCAACCTAATCTGGAGGAAGAGAGAAGGAGCTTCTCTCGGCTTGAAGCCATTTTGTTTGAATGGGGACCACCAAGTCTAGCCAAAGGTAATTTCATTGTGCTGAAGAGAAAAAGGAATAGAGCCATTCTGGGAAAGGGCAAGAGGTTGGAGAAAGAGGGCCCCAGAAGGTGTAAACCTTCTGGGATTAACACTTCTCATTTGTAGTTTGTCTATAAGACTGAGTTCTCCTTCCAGCACTGTGACTTCAGTCTTCACTGACCTCAAACCAACCCTGACTCCCTCTGGGTCCCTGGTTCCTGTGGAGCCAATGAAGGCTTGTCAGGGCTGGTCATTAAGCTGTTTTTCCTCAACACCCGTTTTCATGTTCTGTGGGTCCTTTAGTCTGCATTGTAATAAAGAATCAATGCAAACTGTTCAAGTGAAAGAGGATGAAGGATATGAAGAGAACACACACAAAAAGGGGTGGGAGAAGAGTAGGCAAGCCAAGGGATGTATATTAAAACCAACAAACATATTTTGTGCCTGCATTAAATGAAGGTGCTCATGATTCATGCTGAGGGTTCAAAAACATTGGCTGTAGTCCTTGCCTACCTGGAAAGACATGAAAAAGACATGCTCAATTTCTGATTGCCAAGAATGCATCCAGGGAGTGAGCACCCAGAAGATCTGAGCAGGCAGGTGAGGGCTGGGCTGATCAGGGAAGGTCTTAGATGTCAGGGAACTGGTTAAGGTCTCCCAAGCTGGGAGAAAGCAGGAAGTACAGGAATGAAGATATGAAGTAAACAACTCCCTTTAGTTTGGAAGCTTCTCTTTGAGTTATCTTGAACAAATCACTTAACTCAATTTCTGTTTCTTCAGTTGTGCAAATGAGGCTATTACTACTTCTTAGGCTGCTGGGATGATTAAATGAGGGAAAAGAAATGAAGTTCCAGGTATATAATAACTATTCAAAAATATTAATTCCCTTTCCTCTTTTCATTCCCTCCGATGTTGATGATGTCTAGTCTGGAACTAGACATGATTGCAAATTGGTTGCCCATGAACCAGACTTAGTCTGTAGATCGGTTTTGGTCAGATCACAGAATTCTGGCTTACACTATATTTTGAAAACATTTTGAATTCCTTGGCAACACTTGAAAATTAGGAGATTTCACATAAATATGCAGGTTTCTGGCTTCTCTTGAAAAATCAGATATGGCCACTGGGGGCCTGTGTTACTGCTTGACACCTACTGGCTGGCGCTGAGTCAGGGCTGCTGCTGTGGGTGGGACCTGCATTCCCCACTTCTCCATAGTCCCCGCAATTTCCTCTGAGTCCCTGCACTGAGGCAAGTGTCAGTTGCAATTTATCATTGTTTGCACTATTTTGTTTTTATTCTTAAATTGAGTTAAAAATTGAGCAAAATTTCTTTTTATAGCAAAAGCAGGAAAATGAAAAATTGGCCAAGAATGTCATAAGTTTACAAAACAAAGAGAAAAGGAAAGGAAGAGGGCATATTTCTTTGGGGAAGTGAAGAAAATCCCTGTGTGTTTCATACCCAGGCAGAGCATGACAGTATTGAAAGAATACACTGGCTTGCTTCACTTGTTTGTGTTACCTGCCTGGCCTTAATAGACATCTGAGTTTATTGATCTCAGCCTGGACCACTTGCTCTTATCAGTATAGGCTTGTGGAAAATATCAACCCCTCTTTATGATTTTCTCCCAGCCATGAAAAGGAAATTCAGGCAGAGCTGAAGGGAACCACACAGACACCAATGGCTGTTGACATGAAGTCCATTGAGTGGGCTACTGGACAAGGCCTCCTGCCTTGATGAATCTACATTAATTTTTCATGCAAGCATATATTCTGGGTCTTGAGATAGCTGGTCCTTCAAGAGCTTCCTGGTAACCATCACCAAAGACCAAATGTAACTAAGCAGATAAGGGGTAGTCATTGGGACTAAGGAAAAGAATGGTTTAGAAAGACACTGGCCAACAGAAATATAATGTGAGCCACAGGTAATTTAGGCTTTTCTGGCAGCTACATTGTGAAAAGTTTTTAAAAACCAGGGAATTTTATTTTAATATTTTATTATACTCAATATATCTGAAATACTGTCATTTTAAAATTTTAATATGTAATCAATATAAAAAATAAATGAGGTAGTTTTACATTCTTTTTCTTCTGAACTAGGCCTTTGGTATTTGTTGTGTCTTTTGCAACTATAGCACATTCCAGTTTAGGCTGGCCGTATTTCAAATGTTCAATAGCCCCTGGTGGCTAGTGGCCACCTGATTGTACAGTGCAAGTTTCAAAGATAGATGGGAGCGTCAGCATCATGAAAGCTTTACTGGCTTCTAGTCTTTGCTGATAGCTGGCTCTGATTTCTCAGGCCTTGATTTCCCCCGCTCAGGTACCCTAGAGCTGTATATCAGCCAATGACCATCAGTTTAAGAGAGGTCTTACATTATTGTCTGTAATATGAGCCTACAGCTTTCTTCTCAACTTTAACAGCAAGCAACTTGAAGGTAACCCCATGTTTTTGTTTTGTTTTGTTTTTTCTTATAAACTCTCTTGGAGGCAGGATGTATGGGACACCATGTAGCAGGTGCTTACTATATTTTTCTTGACTTGATTATGTTTGAGTTCTTCCATGATAGAAAATTCACAAAGTCAAGGTTTCTGTTTTGATACATGATATTGGCTTTTACTCCTCCAAGATCAATATCCCATTGAATCTGACTTTAGTGTCAACAGACATGCATTCTTTGGCTCACAGGTTCATTAACCACATGTCAAGCATATTGCTAGGCACCAGGATCACAGATTATAAAAGCATATTTATTACTCAGTAAGTATTACTCAACATGAAAAACAAACAAATGCTATTCAGTATGACAGATCAGTACTAAATGTAGAGTGAGAAAGAGTGAAACAGTGAGGGAACAAATGGAGAAGTGGCCCATTTGTGTAGAGAGGTTAAGGAAGGCTTCACAAAGGAGGAGATGTTTGAGCAGAGTCCTGAGGAATGAGGATTCAGCACGCAGGAGGAAGGGCATGAACTTACACTTGTGTGGTCAGCACATGCAAAACTCTGGAAGAGGGCCCCAAATAAGGTCTGATGGCCAAAGCAGATGGCCCAGCTGTGTCTTTTCACTGTGGGTTCGTAGGTGAACCTACAGTCCCCTAAGTTTGATATTTGCTTATCCTTCTGTTTTATCCTGACTTTATCAAGGTGCTGCAAGGTGTGAAATGCCTAACTCTACGACCAACTTCAGAACGCTTCCATTTCCCTGGCTACCTCACAGAAATTGAGACAACTTTACTTGTTTTTACACAAGGACCTTTTGGGCCCCATCTAAAAGCCATTTCTATAGAAGTATCTTAAATGGACTTCTGAAGAACCTTCAAAATTAACTACCATTAAACCGTAACCAAAATGTACATGTGGATTTGAGATGTGTCAGCATGTGTTTTGCATCTTTCACTTGTGAAATTTATGTGTCTTTCATGGCCTTTGGACAGACCCCATATGTTTCACATATGGTTGGTACATTTCTTATTAGGAATGGTATAAAGAGGGTCAGGAGAATCAGACTACTGTATTGGTAAACATAAGGTTTGAGATCCACTGATAAAAAATGGCTTTCAAAACACCCACTTTAATGGGAAGAACATTTATCTTGGGAACATAGAATTTTATGGCTAGAAGGGATCTTGGAGAGAATCTGGTTCAACCCAGTCATTTTACATGTAGGAATGGAGACGGTGAGGGGTTAAGTGATTCACACAAAGTTTCCAGATATTAGTGGCAGACCAAGGATGAGAACTTAAGCTCTCTGATTTTTAGCCCAGTGCTTTTTTTCGATATTTCACACAGCGTTGCTCATGATTTTCATTAGAAGAGCATTATAATTTTCCAGTTTAAAATGATTTCTGGATAGCAGTTCTGAAAAGTTCTCCAGATTCCAACTATGAAGACATAAGATGAAAATTTGTGGGAACAGAGGCATGCATTTTTGGCTTAGAGTTGTAGCCTGAGGGTCTAGCACAGTGCTTGGCTCATTGTAATTTCTTAGTTAGTATTTGGGGAATGAATGAACTACACCAACAACAAAGGTGAGAGCCAATGTACTATCAGAATCTGTGAAAGCACCCACAAAGATTACGAGATTAAAAAAATGAGAACTGCAGTTGGGAGACAACGCATACTTTGCCAATGAAAACAAAGGAAGCTTGACCTCCTGTAGAATATGTTTCTACCCAGGGGTGATATTAAAAATATTTAATAACCATGACCACCCAGTCACCAGCCCTCGTTCTACTGTGAACGATCAGAACTGGAGCTCACCATCTAAACACTGTCCTGACTCTTCTCTTGTTTGAGATGTTCTTTGAGATGTCGGTTTTCCTCTTCTCCTACCCAATAATTCTCCTTTCCATGTCTCCTGAGAGAATAAAACCCCAATAAAACTGTAGAGAAGGAAGGAAATAAGGATAATCGATGTTTTTATTATTACGTGGAAGATGCAGTTTCAGAGAGTAAAGCTCTGTAGGTAGGAAAACTGGTGGCATGGTATGCTGGGCTTAATTTGGGTGTACTTCATTATTTTAGAGTCTTTATGAGCCAGGAAATTGAAAAACGGCATTTTTGCAATATGTTTGTACTAGGTGAGCATCTGTTAGACCCATGGAGCTCTGGATACCTGTGCATATCTTCTTGCCTTCTTATTATTTAATATATATGTGGGAAATGGTTTTGCCAAAATCAAGGTTGTCAGCAAGTGGGATAAAGGGAATTATACACACTACACCTGCTGGCAAACACTAACTCTGAATGTATTTCTTTTCATTTTAAGACTGGAGAGCAAGAAAAGCCCAACATGGAATATATTAAAAAGATTGCATAACAAGTGATATGGAAGAAAATATTGAGAAACTTCTTGAAATCCCCTGAAGGATGCATGAAGTTTTGGCTTCCATGAAACAGGAACAAAAACTATGAGGAGGAAATTGCCTGAAATAGTGATAATGAGAATGACAAAAGAAATTAAACATAAATTGAGGAATTTAATCCTCACTGAAGCAGAAAATATCAAAATTGACAATGCAGAAGACTGAAGCAATGATATTGATGACAAACGAGTTTTTTTTTCCAGATTGGAGAGAAATATGGACACAGTAATAAGTGGAGAATCAACATAGGTGGAATCAAGAGTATAGACTCTGAAGATGCATTCCGTGGGTGCAAATACTGACCCCATTTACACTAGCAGTGTGACACTGGGCTAGTTACATACTTTCTTAGTGTTATCAACTGTAAAATGGGACTAATAATAGTAAAGGGATTTATATTTAAATTAAATCAACTACTATTGATATAGTTCTTAAAACAGGGGTTAGCATATAGTGAATGCTATGTTTGATAAATACATAGAAACAATGAACAAGAAGATTACAGACATGGAAGACAGAAGATGACAATTAAACTCAAGAACTTAACCATCAGTAAGAAAAAACAAGTAATTAGATCAGTAACAATCATAAACACAATTGCTATTTTTAACTTCCCGGTTTCAAGCAGCCTACTTTGTCCACCACCAGCTCTCCAGCCTAGGACTTATGTCTCAATGGTTTTCAGTGTCCCCATCTGAGAGAGTGCTGCTGCTCTCATTACTATCTTTTCCTCTATTCTCTTCATTTCTCTTCACAATTTATATCCACACTTGAAATCATATAAATTACTATTTTGTTTACTGTTATTTGAATAGGAGGGCTGTGAGCTCAAGGCCTTAATCACTCTTTGCCATTGTCACAGACTCTAAAAAAAAATCTCATTGGATAAATGAAGAAACTGCCCTGCTAAACAGAAATAACTGAATGGACAGATCAGAGGGGGTTGCAATATCAGGTAACATTAACTAAGAAAGCCATTCTTAGATAAGTATTGGCAAATTTTTTGAAATGAAATAACTGAAGGTGTCCATGCCTTACTCCCACACATAGAAAGATCGGTTTTCCTGACTACAAGTCAACAAAAATTTTTCTGATTTCATACTTACTCTCTGCTATAGTGATTTACAGAAAACAATAGAACAATATTTGTAAATCTTTTCAAGGAAAATGTTGTTTAAGAATTTTAATGTCCATGTACTAGAGGAATTAGATAATATAACCACTGTGTGTCTTTCTTTCAAAAATCAATGAATCAAAAATAAGACCTTGGTAATGAGGCAGTCAAGCTATGAAAGGAGGGTGTTGGGTATTCGTACTCTTCTGCTGTACTTTAAAGGCCATCCTTTTGGACAAGACTCCCACTTTTAGATCTCTAGCCCTTGTAGCAGTCTAAGATAGATGTCCAGTTCTTAATGCTTGGAATTTGTGAATATATTACTTTATTTGGTTTACAGATGTGATTAAATTAAGAATTTTGAGTTGGGGGGTTATCCAGGCAGGCCTAATGTAATCACAAGGATCCATAATAAGAGGGTGTCAGAAAAATCAGAATGAGTGAGAGTAGTAGGAGATGTGACCATGTAAACAAGAGGTTGGAGTGATGTGAGGTCACATCAAAACCACACACACACAATGATATATCACTGATGTGAGGTACTAAAAGAAATGTAGGCAGTGTCTGGAAGCTGAAAAAGGCAAGGAAATGATTTTCCCCTCAGAGCCTCCAGAAGGAACCAGCTCCTCTGACAACTTGACTGTAGCTCAGTGAAACTGATTTTGGACTTCTGACCTCCACAACTACAAAATAGTAAACTTGTATGTAGTTATTAAAAATTGAGGTAAAATTCACATAACTGTTAACTATTTCAGAGTGTAACTAAGTGGCATTTATTGCATTCACAATATTGTGTAACCACCATCATCTCTAGTTTCAAAACTTTTTCATCACCCGAGAGGAAAATCCCTTGCTCATGAAATAAGCATTCCTCATCTTTGTCTCTTCCACCCATTGCTTCCCTTGGCAACCACTAATCTGTTTTCTGTCTCTATAAATTTGTCTATTCTGGAATGTTTCATATAAAAGTAGTTATATACTATGTGGCCTTTTGTGTCCGGCTTCTTTCACTTAGCATAAGGTTTCTGAGGCTCATCCATGTTATACCATGTGTCAGTACTTTCTTTCTTTTCATAGTTGAATAATATTCCATTATGTATTTATGCCAAAATTTGTTTATCCTTTCATCCATTGATAGACCATCTTTTGTTTCCAGCTTTTGGCTTTTATGAATAACACTGCCATAAACAATTATGTAGAAGTTTTCCTGTGGACATATTTTTATTTCCCCTGGATTTATAACTCTGGGAGTAGAATTGCTGGATCATACAGTAACTATGATCAGTATGCTTATGCTTAACTATCTGTTTACTTTTTGAGGAACTGCCAAGCTGTATTCCACAGTGGCTGCATTAATTTACATTCGGTCAGCAATGTACAAGAGTTCAAATTTCTCCACATCTTTGTCAACACATTTTTGTTTTTATTTTTTTGGATTATAGCCATCTCAGTAAAAGTGAAGTGATATATCATTGTGGTTTTGATTTGCATTTCCTTAATGACCAATAATGTTAAAAATGTTGAACATCTTTGTGTGTGCTTGTTGGTCATTTGGAGCAATGTCTATTCAAATCTGTTCACTTTAAATTGGGTTGTTTTTTTTTTTTCTGTCACATTGTAAGAGTTCTTTATGTAATTTGGATATCAACCCCTTATCGGATATGTGATTTGCAAATATTCTCTCCCAATCGGTAGTTTGCCTCTCACTCTGTTAATTGTGTCCTTGGATGTACAATATTTTTTTCATTTTTATGAAGTCCAAATATCTCCTTTTTCCTTCCATTGCTTGTGCTTTTGGTATAAAATCTGAGAATCCACTGCCAACTTTGAGGTCATAAAGATTTATTTCTATGTTTTGTTCTAACAGTTGTATAGTTTTAACTCATATCTAAATACTTCAGGGACAACAGGACTCACTGGTCAATGCCTTGAAGTACACCTTGCTTCTAGGGCAAGGAACAAAGTCCAGGCTCTCTCTGGTCATTCTTCCTTGAGTCAAGATGTTCTCTTTCTTAGAAAGGACATGAACAAGGCTGGGCTGTTTCAGATAGTTCCTGCTTCTCTCAGTATTTTGCATTTCTAGCACATTCTACACTTATTCTGATAACTACATACATGAAGGAAATAAGGGGAAAACCAGGTTGGCTATCTGGGGACTATCTAGAGTTAATTTTTTATATGAAGCAAGGTAGGGATTGGTGGCATTCTTTGGCATGGCATTATCTAGTTATCCCATCACCAGTTGAAAACATTATTCTATACTTCTTGAATGGTCTTGGTGCCCTAGTAAAAAAAAATCAACTGGTCATAGATGTTTGGTTTATTTTTGAACCTGAATTCTATTTTATTGGCCTAAATGTCTAGCCTTATGCTAACATCACATGATTTTGGTTACTGTATTTTGGTGGTAAGTTTTAAAATCAAGAAGTGTGATTCCTCCAACTTTCTTTTACTTTTTTAGTGTTGTTTTTATCATTTGGGATTCCTTGCAATTCTATATAAATTTGAAAATTAGCTGTTTTATTTTTGCAAAAGTAGCCTTTGGAATTTTGATGGGGTTGCCTTAATCTACAAATATGGTTATTTTATTAGGTCTTCTTTGAAATTCATGGGTATTTCCATTTATTTAGGTCTTTAAAAATTTATTTCAGAAATGATTTGTAGTTTTTAATATACAAGACTTTTACTTTCTTGGTTAAATTTATTCCTAAGTATGTTATCCTTTTGGATGCTATTGTAAATGGAATTATTTTCTTAATTTTCTTTTCAGATTGCTCACTGCTGAAGTACGGAAAAACAACTGCTTTTTGCAGCGTTGATGATTTTGTTGATTAGCTCTACTATTTTGTGTTTGTGTCTTCTTTGGATTTTCTCTATGTAGAGTCATAGCACCTACAGGTAGAGATCATTCTGTTTCTTTCATTCAAATTTGCATTCCCTTTATTTCTATTTTCTGCCCAATTGTTCTGGCTAGAACTTCTAGTAAAATGATGACTAGCAGTGGTGAGAATAAGCATCCTTGTCTTATTTCTGATCTTAGGGGAAACATTTCAGTCTTTCACTATTGAGTATGATGTTAGTTGTGGGGTTTTGATATATGTCCTTTATCAAATGGAAGAAATTCCTTCCCATTGCTAGTTTGCTGAAACATTTTTAAAAATCATAGAATGGTGCTGAATTTTGTGAAGTGTTTTTACTGCATCTACTGAAATGATTGTTTTTTTCCCTTTAGTCTAATATATTGTGTAACATTGATTAATTTTTTATTAAAAAATATTTTTACTTTTTTAGAGATAGGGTCTCATTCTGTCACTCAGGCTAGAGCAGTGACATTCATTATGTGCCTGATCATTATGTACTGCAGCCTTGAACTCCCTGACTCAAGTGATCCTCCCACTTTAGACTTCTAAGCGTCTGGGACTACAGGTACTGCCACCATACCTAATTTTAAAAAGAGGTTTTTTTAGAGACGGGGTCATGCTATGTTGCCCAGGCTGTTCTCAAACTTGAGGCCAACCTCAAGCAATCCTCCTGCCTCAGCTTCCTAAGCACACGGGACTACAGGAGCACACCATCACACCTGGCTTGATTAACCTTTTCTTATGTTGAGCCTCCCTCATATTCCTGGAGTAAATCCTATTTGGTCATATGCACAATCCTTTTATAAACTGTTCTATTAGTTTGCTAATATTTTCTTGAGTCCTAGGTTTTTCACTTAGGGGAGGATTTTAAATACTAATTTTGATTACTCATTGAATATCTTTGCTTATCATAAGTTCTTTGAGATTTTATATTTCTTCCTGTATCTGTATTGGTAATTTGTGTGTTTCTAGGTACTTGTTATTTCCTCTAGTTTATGTAATTTGTTGGTGTCTAATTGTTTATTATATTTTAATTCTTTTAGTTTCTGTAAGTTTAGTAGTAATATCCTCACTTTAATTTTTGATTTTAGTTATTTATGAGTTTTTTTCTTTTTTTCTTAGTCAGTCTGGCTAAAGGTTTGCTAAATTTTTATCTTTTCAAAGGGCAAACTTTTGTATTTTTTTATTCTATTATTTCTTTTTCTCTGTTTAATTTATATCTGCTCTAATATTTATTATGTTCATTCTTCTGCTGACTTGGGATTTAGCTTTTTTTCTTTTTCTAATTCTTTCAGGCATAAGGTTAGGTTGCTGATTTGAGATCTTACTTTTTCAATGTGGACATTTACAGCTATAAATTTCCCTCTGAGCATGGTTTTTGCTGCATCTCATATATTTTGGTAATTTGTACTTTCATTTTTATTCATCTCAAAGAATCTCTTAATTTCCCTAGTATTTCCTATTTGACACATTTGTTGTTTGAGTGTATTGTTTAATTTTCACATGCTGGTTAATTTTCCAGTTTTTCTTCTGTTATTAATTTCTGGCTTCATTCCATTGTGGCTAGAGAAGATATTTTATGATTGTCTTTTTAAATTAACTGAGAATTGTTTTATGGCCTGACATATAGTTTCTCTTGGCGAATGTTCCATGTGTACTTCAGAAGAATGCGTTTTCAGGATGGGCATTGTGGCTCATGCCTGTAATCCCAGCACTTTGGGAGGCTTAGGTGGGTGGATCAAGAGATCCCGAGATCGAGACTATCCTGGCCAACATGGTGAAACCTTGTCTCTACTAAAAATACAAAAATTAGCTGAGTGTGGTGGTGCTTGCCCATATCCCAGCTACCTGGGAGGCTGAGGCAGGAGAATTGCTTGGACCAGGGAGTTGGAGGTTGCAGTGAGCTGGGATCATGCCACTGCACTCCAGCATTTTTCTGCTGTTGTTGGGTAGAGTGTTTTATATATGTAGATGTGTTAGACCTAGTTAGTTTGTAATGTCTTAAGTCCTCTATTTTTTTCTAGATCATTTGTCTAGATGTTCTGTCCATTACTGGAGTATTGAAGTCTTTAAAATTCTATCAGAAGAAAAGAGGAATTACAAACCAAAAGTACAATAATATTAGCTTTATTTATCTATGTATTTATCTTTATCGGATCTTTATTTATGACATTGAGTTACTCTATTGAGTTACTCTATTCATTTCAACCTATAGGACTACTTCTAGCTTTTCTCACAGAACAGACCTACTAGCAATAAACACCTTTAGTTTTGTTTATCTATCTTAATTTCTCCTTTTTAAAAAATTTCTAAAATTGGCAAGCATTATATATATTTTTCTGTACATGATGTTTCAAAAATGTATACCTATGTAATACCTAAATAAAACTAATTAATGTATTAGTTCACATACTTACCTTTTTGTAATGAAAACATTTAAAATTACTTTTAGTGATTTTCAATAACATAATACATTGTTATTACCAGTAATCATTATGTTGTACAATAGATCTCTTCAACTTATTTCTCCTATATCTCTTTCATTTTTAAAGGATAGTTTTGTCAGATATAGAATTCTTTGTTGACAGTATTTTTTCTTACAGCACTTTAAATATATCATCCCATTTCTTTACAGTCTCCATAAATTTCAATAAATTTCACTGTTAATCTTATTGAAAATAGTTTGAAAAATGTGAGTCTCTCTCCTGTGCCTTTTAAGATTTTCTCTTTGTCTTTTGGCAGTTTATTACAATGTGTATTGGTGTGAATCTCTTTGGGTTAATTCCATTTATAGTTGTTGGAGTTCTCTGACATGTATATTCATGTCTTCCATGAATTTGGAAAGTTTTCAGTCATTATTTCTTTAAATATCTTATCAGTTTCTTTCTCTATATCTTCTCCTTCTGTGAGTCTCAGAACCCATATGTTAGTATACTTGATAGGTTTTATAGGCTTTGTTTATTTTCTTCATTCTTTTTTCTAACTCGCATATCAAATAATTTTAATCACTCTCTCTTCAGTTTCACTGATTCTTTGTTTGCTCAAATCTGCTGTTGATTCTCTGTAGCAATTTTTAAATTTCAACTATTTTACTTTTAAACTTTAGAATTTCTATTTAATTTTAAAAAAATAATTTCTGTCTTTATAGATAACCCCTACTTGTTCATAACTTGTTTTTCTAATTTTCTTTAGCTCTTTTCCATGGTTTCCTTTAGTTCTTTAAGCATATTTAAGAGAGTTAATTTAAAGTCTTTGTCTAGTATGCTAATGCCTGGGCTTCCTCTGGGATATCTTCTGTTGATTCCTTTTTTCTTATTTCTTTGTATGTTATGAATTTTTTGCTGAGAACTGGATCTTTTGAATATTGTAATACAGTAACTCTGGAAATAAGAACCTCCTTTCCAGAGACTGCTGATGTTGCTTGTTAGGGAGTACAATTGCACATGTGTTTAGTGACTTTGCCAAACCATTTTTGAAAGGACAATATTTCATGTTATGTGCAGTCACTAAAGTCTCTTTTCCATGATCTTTGCAGTCAATCAGTGACGTGATCCAATAAGAAAAGAGAAAAGAAGTTTAAAACATGTTCTGTCTTTTTAAATTCTTGAATAGACACTGACCAGGAAGCTGCTTAGCCCATGGGTGTTAGAATAATGGCCAGTCACTGT